GACAGACAGACAGACAGACAGACAGACACCTACTGTACGGTACACAGACAGACAGACACCTACTGTACGGTACACAGACAGACAGACAGACAGACAGACAGACAGACAGACACCTACTGTACGGTACACAGACAGACAGACACCTACTGTACGGTACACAGACAGACAGACAGACAGACAGACAGACAGACAGACACCTACTGTACGGTACACAGGTTCCAGCCCCGCGGAGAGCACGCCGTCCGAGATGACCACAGTGCCGTTAGGTAAACCTGGGGGAGACACATTGACACATGACACATGACACTTGGTACATTGACACATGACACTTGGTACATTGACACATGGTACATTGACACATGACACACGACACTTGGTATATTGACACATGACACTTGGTACATTGACACATGACACACGACACTTGGTACATTGCCACATGACACACGACACATGGTACAGTGACACATGGCACACTGACACATGGTAAATTGACACATGGTACATTGACACATGACACACGACACATGGTGCATTGACACATGACACACGACACATGACACATGGTGCATTGACACATGGTACATTGACATATGACACATTGAACTATGACACACTGACACATGGTACATTGAAACATGACACACAACACATGACACACTAACACAAGACACACTGAAACATTAAAACATGACACATTGCCACATGACACATAGACACATGACACATGATACACTGACACATGATACACTGACACATGATACACTGACACATGATACTCTGACACGGGACACATTGACACATTGACTCATGACACACCTTCACATTGACACATGACACACTGACTGACACATTGACACACTGACACGTGACACATGAACACATGACACAGTGTCAGATCACACATCTTCACACTGACACATGACACTCTGACATATGAACACATGACACACCTTCACATTGACACAAGACACACTGAAACATAACAAACGACACATTAACACGTGACACATGGCACACTGACACGCTGACACATTGACACACGACACACTGACATGCTGACACATTGACACACGGCACATTGACACATGGACTGACACCTTGACACACGACACATGGACTGACACACTGACACACGACACATGGACTGACACATTGACACACGACACATTGACACACGACACATTGACACATGACACACTGACACAACCCCCCCCACACACACACACACAAAGTGAGCACCCACCTATGCCG